GCTGGATCTGCCTGTAGTTTATAGATAATCGATATGTAAGTGATTTATTTCTTGTACGATTTTAAAATATCCATCGAACGTCATTTTCGACTACTTCGATCATTCGCCATAACTTTAATCAAATCGAGGTGGAAATCGATCCACATCGATTTTACCTCTGTGCGCGTATATACATACGTATATTCATAGTTCAGTGAAATTCTAAGTACGTTGATTATGAATATTCGATGATTATGTTTTTATATCAGAAGCATGTGGAGAAATTTTTGATGACCACCATCTTGTTCTACGCTTTTTTTTGCTATTTCATGATTTTATTTTATGAAAGGCATTTCCAATTTTCGGTTTGATTATATCAAACTATATTATGTAATTCTAACCTAGAAAATCGTTGGTTCTCTTTTGAGGCAGACTGAGATTGGAAATGCCTTGGCCATTAGGGCACGTTGCTAATGCATACGGTTCTTTTTCAGATTGGGGCCACCCCCTTTCTCTTTCCCTTTCACTTTGCCTAGCCTTGGCCAATATTTTCACCCATGCATGTGCCTTGGCAGCGCCATCGCCTTTAACTTCGCCTACAACTGGTTATGAAGCCACTATATGGAGGTCACCCCTCATAACTGGGACCTCCCCTTCAAGCCCCTGGCCATCCTGGTTTCAGTCGAGTAAAAATGGACCAGCTAAAGATAAGTCGATAGCGTTATAGCAGCGCCAAAGATGTAAAACTTATTTTGTTATTTTTGTAAAATTGTAATGTAATGAAAATGCCTTTTTTTTGTTAAATAAAATCTGTTAAATTTTTGTGTTCTGTTTGTTCTTCTATCCTCTAGCCATGCCATGGTCGACACACAGCTACACGCCTGTAGATGTCTTCATGCCACCGACTGAGCTACCGGAAGCTAATGGTAACCCCCTTTCTGTGATTGTGCAGAAAAGTTGGAATCTTCATTGCATTCCATCTTTTCTGGACTTTTTGCGGAAAGGAAGCGTTACAAGTACTAAAACAAATATTTCGTTAAAACACCTTGTAGAAGGGTGTTGGGAGGTGTTATGTTGATCGTGACCATGATCCTTACAAGGTCAGTTTCAGGGAAAGTTGATTTTTATATGATTATGCTGAGACAGATCTGGCCTGAACTGCTCGACAAATCGGGAAACTTGAAGGACAGGTATCTTTTAAAGGAGACAGTTTATGTCTTACTTTCGATGCATATGTAAATCTTCAAAGATTATCGATCCAGAATGCAAAGGATTCCTTTTGTACGGTGTACTACTAGTCCATACGTCATTCCAAGCCGTTTGCTACAACATTTTTCTAGAGAGTGCTTAGATTCGCCGACAAACACGACTTTTCAAATCAAGTTTTTCAAGTGAAAGATGTACTTTCATTAAATAGAGATATCCCCATCCCCCATTGAATTGGAAAATGCCTTCACTTCTGAGAGGAAATCAATGGCAGCTGTCCACGGAATCAGCCAATGAATCTCGTTTACTCACAAAGACAAGATGGGTAGTTCGAGAGTTATTAAAATTCTGCATGTACCAAATTTAGGAACTTTTATAAAATAGCTCATGGTCTTATTGGTAGGTACCATACGGCGCGAGGGGCGACTCATGTTTTCAAAACTTAATAAAGTGTCGACTATAGATACCTTATTAAAAACTTGATAGAAGCCAGAACACAACGGCTGCTTTGAGAATCTTAAAGCAACTTCGCTAATCCGATTTTCAAACTGCCTAAAGTTAGTAGAACTGGGAAAAGCCTCCTCATGTAGATTGTTTCACAATCTGATACCCTAGAGATAAAGGAGCGGTCGTATCGGCCAGTTCTGGATGAACTACGCTCACCTTAGTGCATTTTCTCTGTCGCTCCCGCCTTCAAAATCAACATGACCTTAATTTGACCTTGTGAAGGTCTTAATCAGGGATAAGGAGACAACCACGACTTTCATGTTCCATTAAAAAGCTTCCTGTCCTATTGAGTTCTCTGAATTCTCGAGCAACTCGTGCCAGATTGATTCCAGCATAAACATATAAACATGAACATGCCAACGAACTGACCTAGTGAGGATCATGGTCACGATCAGTATGATATATCCCAACACCTTCCTACAAGGTGTTTTAAGGAAATATGTATTTAGTTTTTGGCCTGGGAACTACAATCGGCACATTCACGATTCTTGCAAAGCAGAAAAACTTTATCCGCCTATTTCTCAGAAACATTGCTTTGGTCCTACGGACACTTTTATACGTAAGGGGAGGAAATATATCATACAGAATTTGAAGGCAAATCGACTGAACCCATTTTTTGTGGATGGTCCTTTGTAAATTCCCATTCTTGTTTTTTGTTCTTACGAGCTTTGCGATCCATCAAAACCCAATGTGCGTTCAGGTGCTTTTATAATAATTAATACAATGTTCTATGTCGTAAAAGCCAACTTCATACTTAGAAGGTGATCAGTCTAACTGCTGATATAGTAACATCCTGTTCGGAAATAGGATACCAAGTTCGATATTTATATTTTAGAAGAACTAGACATACTTACTAGCAGGTGCATTCCCATATACTGTTACAATCACAGCTAACGCTAGTATTGACAGAGCAAAATATTTCATTCCAATGTATTTCGTTTTTCGTGAGGTGTATGTAAAAATGCAATATTTATATTAATATCAGCTTTAGACATTCAGACGAATGATATACCAATATAGCAGTGGCCTTTTTATATTCTGCAACTTGTGCAACGTACATACAATACTCATATGTAACAGATTAAACAGCACTTAGGTGCAATTATATATGAGATCCATATCACTTGCTTACGGACTATGTATCATAGTTTGACGTTGACGAATATAATAATGCCGTATCTCACCAGTTAAATTGGTTGTGCTGAGTCTAAGATAAGCCAATAGGCTAGTGGTGTATCCAGAAAAAAGTTCTGGGTGCGCTTAAGGGTGACAGACATAAAAACTACCTGTCTTGATATCAGATTTCTAATGTCAAATACTTGATTTAAGCCTGACTTTATTTCAAGTCGTCAAGTAGCTGGAAAATCGAGTCAAGTAGTGAATCCCTAGCCGTAAACTAACATCAAATCGACAAGCTCATCATTGCAATTGCCATTTTCGGTTTTTTCAAATTCAATTTATTAACAAACAGCCCAGTTTACTTACACGATGAGAGACGCTCGGGCCGGACTGACGTACGTACCTACATGGTGTGAGATGAAAACTCCTAGGAAAACGATCTCAATACATTTGCGCAGCATCAGTACCATCTTGGAGACACCTTAAACTAAGATCAAATCGACAAGTTCGTTATTTCGCTTCTTTCAAGTCTGATTTATAAATAAACAGCCTGGTGTACTTTAGTGGCCCGAGGCGCCCGGGCTGGACTGACGTACGTCGTAACTTCCCACCTTATAATTTGCTGCAGGCAGGGCGGAATTTGATATCGTATTTTCTTGGGAACAGTATAACCCTGCTCCTGTGACTATTACCATCATTAAGATCGAAGACCATTTTCTTGAAAATCAATTTTAGTGGTATATCATTTTTTCATCTGATCTGAACTACGTTCTCTCTGCATAGCACATACATTCCTGATTATGAATATATACTAAGTGACATATAAATCCGAACACCCAGTTTAAATGGTTTTATTTTAATAAAATTTTGTATAAGTACTTAATGAAGCATAATAAGTAAATGATAAAAATTTCAAAATGATTGCACTGCTTTAAAGCCCTTTGACCTTTAATAATGTGTAGATGCACCCTGATGTGCTACGCATTCTCCAACGCGCCTAGGCATGCTTCTGATCAGGTGGTCAATGTCCTCCTGTGGTATCTCATTCCAGCCAACCACCAACTCCTGTCGAAGTGCTTCTAGAGTCTGAGGAGGACGTTGCAAATTGAGCAATCTCCTACCCACCATATCCCACACGTGCTCAATTGGGGATAAGTCGGGAGATCTTGGTGGCCATGGTAACAATGTGACATCATTATGTTGAAAGAAGTCTATTGTGACTCTTGCAACATGTGGTCGGGCATTATCTTGTTGGAAAGTTGGACCTGCCAGGGTGTCAAGATAGGGTAAAAGATGGGGTTCTAGAACTTCGTGGATATAACGCTGTGCGTTCATGTTACCTCTGATGAAGATTAAAGGTGACCTGGAACCATAAGCTATAGCACCCCAAACCATAACTCCAACAGTGTGATGAACATGTCTTTCAACAAAAAACTGTGGATTCCTCCTTTCACCACGTCGCCTTCTAACCCTGGCACGACCATCGTGCATGCCTAAACAAAATCGAGACTCGTCACTAAAGACAATACTGTTCCATTCCTGATCCCAGAGTGACCGTTGTCTGCACCACTCAAGGCGATTACGTCGATGTTCTCGAGTTAAAGGGAGGACCCAGTATGGCCGGTATGAAAACAAGCCAAAACTTCTCACTCGTCGGTAAACACTTCGCATGCCAATAGGTCTTCCGTGTTCTGCAAACCATCCATTTGCAATGGACCTGGTAGTAGAGAAACGGTCCCTTAAGGCCAATAACCTTAGGCGGCGATCTTCACGGTCTGTTGTTCTACGGCGGCGTCCAGTGCCCCTTGCTCTTTGCGTACGGCCTTCTCGAAACCATGCCTGACAACACCTAACCACAGTGTCTACACTTCTTTGCACTCTAACTGCAATTGCCCGAAAAGAAAGTCCAGCTTCCCGAAGTCCCACTATACGGCCCCTATCAAACTCACTAAGTTGACGAAATCGTACAGGTCTCCGTACTCTAGGCATCGTAACCGATCGTAAAGGATGTGAAGAACCAAAATCCGCCAACGTTGATTCTTTACTGCGGCTGAAATATTCATTTTTAGAGCGTTAGTGAATTAAAAAAAAGCAGTATAAGAACCGGAATGTCCAACTGATAAGGCTGAACATTTTTTCACTCACTTTACAGTAAGATAAATACATTCACCAACTTTTATTAAAATAAAACCATTTAAACTGGGTGTTCGGATTTATATGTCACTTAGCATATTAGCTAAGAGAGAAACTGTTTACGTAGTTTTTAGACGATGAACAAATGGTATATGCTGGAATAACAACCTTTATTATGATAGATTACAAATCATAAACGTAGGAAACCTCATATTCATCGCTCAGCATTGTGATATTGGTACACATTTGCCATGTTTTTTCAAGTATCCAGGTTTGCAGTAACATTTGTAATTGTGAATACAAATTTTCGAACAAATCTTGTGCTGGTCGGCACATGTTACCGAGCATGGACGGCAACCGGGAACAGTTTCATTGTGTCTACATTCTGAAAAAAAAAAACAAATTATGCATATATCTGCACTACATCATGAACTGACATTGAGGCTGTCTAGAGTTGTTGTGGTAAGGTACCAAAATGGTTGAAAATAGAGTTGAAACCACCCCCGGGGATCTATATTATATTCATTTCCTAGGTGCAGTAGATGTAAACAATATCATTGAGGATCTGGGCCAGAAAGCTCAGAGACGTATTCAATTCTTAAGTCTGCGATTTCGGTGTTTACGGAAATCTATGACATCACTGATCAACATATTGCACTACTTAGAGAATACGTGGTTACACGTAATGTTTCACTTGAAGGACCATAGATGTTTGCTCAAATTGTCTGCATGTGTGTGTTGCTTTGCTTGCGCTAAGCTCACTTATGTTGTAGTGAAACACTTTGATAAGCCATTAAAACATGAACGGTAATCACAGCAGTTGTCTTGGCGAAAGCCATCTACAAGAAAAAAAAGCACTGAAAAAGAGCTGACGATAATAAAAGCAATAAAAGTATGTCGAGTACTCTTAATAGTGATAAAGTGCTTTTAGTGTCAAAAATAACGAACTTCGGTAATTTGACAGAACCGAATGCTGGCTGTCATGACAGGACTAATTTTTTTTAGATTTTGACTCGATGCCGACGCCAAATTCTAGTAATATCTGTGTCCAAACCGGGCAAGACATGAATAGGTTTAAAATCGTAGAACCCCAGAAGCACAAGAGACCACAAAACTAGCAGGACTACAATAAAACGCTACTTTGTCACAATGCATGTACAACATAAATCGGGGAAATTCAATATATTTAGAACACTACCTATTTCTTGTATCTATTTTTATCTGTCATCTAAAACTCATACTGCTGTCATATACTGAGTGACAAAAAAAGTTAAACACCTACGTATGTTTATTCGATTTTAATAATTTTTGACATATATGTTCAGTGTCCCTTATCAGTAAAATCATTGAATTTTCAGCTTGATTCGTTAACTGACTGCAGAAGCTGGCTCGATGATATGTTGAGGATCCACGGTTTCTTGTACACTCATTGACACGCTTGGGCGTCGTGTTGATAAGGTGGTCGATATCCTGTTGGGGTATCTGATTCCAGGCTACTGCAACTTCGTGAGTAAGAACTGCTAAAGTCTGGGAAGGGTGTTGCAAATTCAAGAGCCTGAGACCTATCATGTCCTAGACACGTTCACTTGGAGATAGGTCAGGTGATCGTGGTGGCCAAGGTAAACGGCTGATGGGATGTTGATCCAGGAAGGCTAACGGTGCTCTGGCAACATGCGGTAGGGAATAAGAGAGGCTCCACTACTTCCTAAATATAGTACTCACTTTACTTGAATCCCTCCAAAACAACGCTTATTCGTTTTCATAATGTCGACAAAACTGTAGAAGAGTTTCAAGTTAGATTGGGTGACGATCAACTCGATTTCAGAGGAGAAGTGAAATTTTTTGGAGTTCATTTTGCTTCGAAATTAAATTGGAAGGCCCACTGCGAATTTCTCACATCAAAAATGTACTGTCAAAGCGATGTATTGAGGCAATTAAAAACCATCTTAACAGCTGAACAATTGATACAAGTTTATTTTGCTAATGTGGATTCGAGATTAAGATATGGAGTATGTGTCTAGGATTGGTCAACGCACTCTAAAGATGTACAGGTATTTGTGTCTCAAAAAAGATGCATCCGATCATTAGCAGGCATCTCACCAACAGAAAGTTGCAAAAAATATTTTATAAGTTTCAACATTTTAACTGTCGCTTCATTGTATACAGGGTGTCCGCAAAGTTGGGGTTTTCCTTTACACGACGTGTAGATCTTGAAAACATAAGCAATTTTTCTTAGTACCATATACACCAATGTCTTAAGGGAACCGAGATAAAGGGCTCTGCAACATCAAAAATATCTGAATACCGTCCTGTAGCCGCGACCGGTCGCGATATCCCAGACTGGTACCGGCTACTAGCTGAAACCGACGACATAACTGGGTCGGGGGTCGGGGTCAGTGTGTCAGGTCAGTATGCAACCTTCAACCGACGGTAAAGGGTCACGCGTATAGAGGTAACGAACCCGTATAATCCATTGCGTTTAAAAAAAAAAATAATAATGGCACACTCATACACCAATAATGAACTCGTTGATATGTTGTTAATTTATGGCGAATGTCTTCAAAATGCTACAGAATCGTCGCGAGTGTATGCAGATCGTTTCCCTAGATGACATCATCCAAGGCCCCGCAGATTTGTGTACCTGGTCCAGAGAGTCTGGGATACGGGCCATTTGGAGGAATTTCGAGGTGGGCACAGTGGGATGCCTAGACAACCACGAATGGTGAAAGTTGAGGAAGAACTACTGAATCGCGTAGACGAGAATCCCTCCACAAGCACTAGAGACGTGGCTAGAGAAGTGCAAGTATCAAAAACTAAAGTGTGGCAAACGTCCAACGTGTACAAGCCCTTCAACCTAACGATTTTCCAGCAAGAGTGCGGTTTTGTGAGTGGTTGTTGCATCAACATGACAATAATCCGGACTTTTTGAAGTGCATATTGGTGACAGACGAATCTACGTTCACGCATAATGGGGTGAATAACTTTCGATTTCAGGCAGAGACGGACTTAGCCCTTCTCTTCAACTGGAGAGTGAGTACTTTTTCCTTTATTTTTTTTTACTTGGTCGCCCTCGTTTCACTACCTTTGTTATTTCAAGGGTAGTTGTTTCTGAAAAGGAAAACCCTCTGTATATATGAATTGTGCTTACATGTTTTTAAAAACAATGAAAAATTCAAGCGAAATTGTGATATGCATAATTATGATACAAGGACTTGTAATAATTTATATGTAAACTTCAGCAAATCAAAAGCGGCATTTCGATCACCTAATAAAATTGATCCGCTTCTTTTTAATAATTTACCATGCCACTTTACCTCGGTTAAAAATATTAACGACTTCAAGTTCCAGTTGAAGCAATTTTTGATAAACAAGTGCTTTTATCGTGTTGATGAATTTTTGAACATTGCAATTTGAGATTAGTTGTAGGTTTGTAGCGAACGAAAAATTGAGAATTCCAATACAATTATTTATTGTCTGTATGGAAATAAAGGTTATTGATTGATTATTGATTGAATAAAGAGAAATTCAAATTGCTAGAAGTGATCAAAATAGTAAAAAATCACAAAAAGGCTTCTCAATAAGCTACACGGAATTTAACATTTAATTGAGACCGTCAATGTGCGAAAAGTAGATGCCCTTTTATCACCAAGCAATACACGCAGCCACCACAAAAACTTAACGTAAAAACCTGACCAGTTTATCACTTGTTGTTCGTGGCAAGATAAATCGATATGTAACAAATTCTTGAATTCTAATAAACAACCTTTTTTTGTCACTCAGTATATTACCAATACGTTTTTATAACTTAAAATTATTTTAATTAAACTTATCCAACTTGACGAATTCCTACAACACTGAATTATTCATAAATAATCATACTCAATAAGGTAGCTAAAGGAGCCCTCTTATTTGGTAACGGGTTACGAAAGTTTGACCTGCTACTGCGCAAAATCGAAATAAGCAACAAAACAAGACTGCAACAATATCTTCCTCCAATTTCATGCTTCTGAAAATTCTAGCAAAGATTGTTTTATTGGAGTAGAATGAATGTTACATAACAATTTACATATTTTAATCAGTACTATACTCTTCTAGTCGTTATCCGGTCGGATATTGCTACCCATGTTTCCTTCATAGCATATGTGGAGCATGATTTAACCATATTTTGCACTGTAGTGAGTGGTTCGTTTTCGAATTGCGTACTGGAGGTGACGGATAACCAACTTGTAACATAAATACGGCTGTCCTATGACCTTTCTGATGTGCTTGGAATTCCTTAGTGCCAACGTGAGTGATCGCTGGGGTTCGACTCGTGTACTGTTTCTGTTCGGTAAATGCAAATGCAATAGTGACTTGCTCTTTGGCATAAAACGCGAAGGTTATCACTGATATGCTAGTTATAGTTATAGAAGGACTAGGCAATACCTCAACGATGTTGAAATTCAAGTACTAGACTGGCCACCAAGGAGTCCGGATCTCAGCCCGATTGAGCACATGTGTGATACATAAGGAACAAGGCTTAGGCAGAACTATGGAAAATTTCAAACTGTGAACCAATCTTTCCACAGGGTGTTCAGAAATTTAGGGCAAAATGCTCCTTATAGTTACACACTGTATAACAACAAACATTTTCAATTTTTTGCAAGATCGACAGTCAATAATATTGACAATGAAATTACCTACAACTTGACAAAAAAATTAACGAAAATGATGCAAACAACAACAACAAAATTTTGTTTGTCCGGTTAATTTTGCGTAGCAGTGAATTAATTATATTATCTAGTAACGTCGAGAACGACTAGAAGGCGCGTGGTTCAAGAGTATAATACTGATTAAAATTTGTAAATTGTCGTGTCACATTCATTTTGTTCCATAAGAACTATCCTCGAAGGAATTTCCAGGAACACGAAACTGGAGGATAATGGAGATATGGTTATTGTCCTGACACTGCACTTTAAAAGGATAAAGTGTCAAATTATTATACAGCGTGTTCTTGAATTGAATGAAAAGTTTTCATTTCATTCGCCACAGTCGATAGGCGATTTCAAAAAAATAAATAAATAGATTTCTGTACAATTTGGTGAAAAACTTCTTGAATTCGTACGGAAATTGAAAAAGTTAAGAAAAGAGGAAGGAAAATTGGTGGTAAAATATCCATTTGCCTCTAAAACTTCAGACACTGTATATATTGTGGTGAATAAAAAACCAGATCATAGTGAAAATTTGGTGTTTGATAATTACACAAAGCATTGCGGTATGATTGACAACTCGATTCACACCACCGAGTGACTCAAAGTTACAACCATGAAACATCATTTTGATTTACTCTGTACAACAAGTCAAACCGTAGCTACAAACAAGAACTGCACATTAATGCCAGTAAGTGTACCTACCACCTGACGAAAAATAAATCAAATCGAGGTAAAGGTAAAAAAGTTATGGTGCTCCCAACGTGACCAACATTTTGCTTGTTGCGTTTATTTTGAACCCAAGTGTACATTGTTCAGTCTGAACTTGGGCAATCCTTGCATGCTATTTTGTATATCAAGTTGCTTTGCAGGTCTTTTTCGGATGGGGGTTTTAGATTTGAAAATATGTGTTTGTTGTAGCAGGTTTGTGCTAGATGAATTTTTTGTTGTTTACAAATAGGATTGCGACATAAAGCATTGATATGAGTTTCTTGTTCTGTTCGTCAGTGTGTTGTTTTTGGTGGACTCTCTCCTTTATGCTGGCATCCACAAAATTTCTGGGGTAGTTATTCTGGGAAAGAATTTCTCTCACTTTCTTCATTTTAGTAGGTCTGTTATTAGGGTATGACAACAATACTGTCCGGTCGGTCAAACTGTTAATGATACTCGGTAGATATTCGGAATCATAATTCAAATACCTTCCAGACAACACGTTTTTCGTATAATATTTCATTATAATATGACCATAATTTTTATATTTAAGCATTATATCGAGGAAGTTAACTATTCTGTAAGTTTTGTAAACTGTAGTCTGGGATGGAAATTGTTGGATTCATTAAAAATGCTTTCAATATGATTTTTATGTATGCAGTGTAGACAATCATCTACATATCTCTTATAACAAATTGGTTTGATTGGTAATCTTTCAAGAACTGTATTTTCCATTTTCAATAAATGTTTTGAGCTGACCGAATCCCAAGGATTAATAGCTTTAATTGATATCAACGGTCAGGAATCCAAAACTGCAGACTTATTAGTTAAGACCCAGTTCTTTGTCTTCAAAGATAACTTTATACGTATAGCTGCTGACATAGTAAGAGTTGTCCTCCTCGGAAACAGGATACCAAGTTCGATATCATATTCCATTGTCACATTAGAAAAAACTAAACATACTTACTGGCAGAAGCGTTCCCAATTACCGTCAAAATTAAAAATAATGCTAATATTGACAGAACAAAAGATTTCATTTCAATGAATTTCGTTTTTCGTCAGATAAGCTAACCAGTGGATGCAATATTTATATCAGCCTCCGTACAAACTTTCGAAGGAGCGATTTATATTTGTATTTTGCAACTTATACTTGCAACAGTTTTAATCTAACAGATGTATAGAGCACTTAAGTGTTAATGTATTTGACAACCATATCGTGTGTTTACCGAATGTCCATTATAAGATATGACGTTAATGAAAAACGTATTGCACCAGTTAAGGGACTCGATAAATCATAGATTAGGAAATAGGTTGGTAATGTCAGATATTCTGTATGCAATAAATTGTCTGAAGAATTGCGCAACAATAATAATTTAGTGGAATCCGGGAGACTTAACCAGATGTGAGATACGCTCCACATCACATAAATCGTTTTGAATTTCCCCCCATTCAACAGGCCACTGCAAACCTACTAATTTTTCATCTCACACACATATTGGCCTCTACTATCCTTCATAAACCCGAACAGGGTAGAGTTGCACCCCAGACATCAATTTTTGGGGGTATTTTTTAAAATATTTTTTTTGATCTCAATTTCCTTCGAGGAATGTTTCTTAAATATATTTCTAATTTATTATAGAAAAGTTTAAAGAAATTGCGATTTATTATATTTTGGTGAACAGAGAATTAAACATTACTAAAACAGGCCTCGTCTGTCTCCCCACCATTTCTGACACAGCTTGGTATATTTCTGCGTTGAATGTAAAAAAAAATGTTAAGTGTCCTAAATATGTACTTACTAGAGACATAAGAAACATCGATCACTCCTTATTAAAAGAAGTTGCATCGTCTCTCTATTGGTTAGATGTAGTCCATTTAGAAAGCATTGAAGACAAGTTGCTATATTTTTATGAATTGGTTGAAAATGTACTCAACGTTTGTACTCCTTTCAAAGCCAAAAAGATTACCAAAGCACGGTATCCTTGGATTACTACTAATATCAAATTTATGATGCGACTGCGAAATAAGACTTATTCTCAATATATAAAAGCAGTAAAGAACAAGTATCCCAGTGAAATAATAGCTTCAAAATGGATATATTGTAAACAACTTAGAAATCTTATCACACCCTCTTTCAGGAGGGAAAAGAAAGCTTACATTGAATATATTAAATTGAGTCAAAGCAACAATAGTCGAGAATGGTGGAATGCTATCAAAAACATTGGCGTTCATGGTTCTAAAAATGTTAACCGCTATTGAATACAGCCTGTCATGCTTAATGATTATTTCATAGACTCTATTCCCGTCAATAAGGTTAATGACTACTTACGGACATTCTATAACACAAATCATCTTTCCCCTGCTGTTCAACCGTTTAGCTTTAAACTTGTTACTAAAGAAAAGGTTTTGGATATTTTTTCTAAAATTGTCCTGTGCAAAGGGTATGGATGGCTTAAACTTAGATCTCTTGATTCCCTTAATTCCATACTGTATCGATGCATTAACACACATTATAAATTTTTCACTAGCAAAAGGTGTCGTGCCGAGCCTATGGAAAGCCGCTTAGACCTCTTGCAAAAATTGATGATCCGATAGCACCTGGTGATTTTAGGCCTATTAGTATACTGTCATTGCTATCTAAAATTCTGGAAAGAATTGTCTATGAGCAAATACTAGGACACATAAATAAAAACAGTTTGATTCCAAATGCTCAGTCGGGGTTTCGAAAAGGTCACAGTACGGTTACCACTTTGATTCACATATGTGATGACTATATCAGGGCTATGGATAAATCTTGTGTCACAACGTCAATTCTAGTTGATCTCAGCAAAACTTTCGATTCTATCAATCATGAATTGCTTCTTGCTAAGCTGCCTAATCTTGGCTTTTCTGATAGTACTGTTACGTGGTTTAGGAGTTACTTGCATGAGCGGTCACAGATAGTCAATGTAGGCGGCTGTATGTACGATAAACGTGCTCTTTTTAAGGGGTACCGCAGGGCTCCATACTTGGCCCAATTTGGTTTACTTTGTATACCTCCGATTCAAACAAATCTGCTGTCATAACTATTAAGTCCTAACAAAGTAATTTCGATAGTAACTTGATAGAATTGCACTTGGAAGGTGGAGACTTGCCTCATATAAAATCCGTGAAAAATTTAGGATTAATAGGGGATGAACATCTCACGTTTCACGATCACGCTTCCAGGGTTGTGCAAAGGTCATACGCTAAACTGAAGACAATTTACAGTTATAAACATGTATTATCTATTCAAACCAAGATCAAGGTTTGTAACTCTTTGATTCTCAGCAAAGTCGAATACGCTGATGCGGTGTATGATCCATGCCTGACGCAGTCGGAAGCTTATAGGATACAAAAAGTGCAAAATAGTTGTATCAGGAATGCGGTAGGTGTTCCGAGATACTACTACTAGATACGTTAAGGATGCCAACTGGATCACGGTGGGTCAGAGATGGATTGTACACTTGTTGCTCACAGTACAGACAGTCCTATTAACTAAATATCCAGCATATCTGAGCAGCAAACTTTCATGCAGAAGTCAGCATCACTCGGAGAACTTTCGCTTTTTAGGTTATACCCTCGATATGCCCCCCCATAAATCATCACAATTCACAAAGTGCTTCTCATACATAGCGCCTTTCCTTTATAATTGTCTACCGTCAGATCTGAAAAGTTTGAGTAACAATAATTTTAAAGTTAAAATAAAGCAATTTGTTCTCGATAATACCTAATTTTATACTAAGCTTTCATCTTGTAATTGCTGTGATTCTACATTAAGTGTCTGGTTGCATTTGAATTATGTACATTTAACTTTATCATCTACTGATCTTTACGTGAATGCTTCTTACTTGTGATTACATAGCTAAATGTTACTTATTTCCGGTTCTGTTTTATGTTTTTTATTTCCTTTTTTTATTATTTCTGTCTCAGTGAGTGCGTGAGTGTATGTGATTTAAATCTGTCTACAAACTTTACACACTATTATGTTGTACTTGTTACTTCTCAATACTATATGTCTTGATCATTATTTTTTTGTATCTGTGATTTTTTTTATGTTTGTTAATCTTATGTAGCCCTAGTTGGTACCAAAAGCAGCTATTAGCTGATATACCCGCTAGGTAAAATAAATGCATAATATTATTATTGTAACAAGTTATAGTGGGCTTTGTACCTTGGGGTTCAGCTGCTCCCGCTCGGTATGTGACATATTACACTATAACAAAGCAAAACGTGCAGTGCATACAACAGATAAATTGGCAAAGGCAATCACGACTCAAAGAAACAGTAATCGGTGGCCGATGGAAACATTTTTCCATCTAATGGGCATTGGTGGCATCAACGCCTATAAACTATGGGTGTTGAAAAATCCAGATTGGAAAAAATCGATTGGATAGAAGAAGAATGTTTTTGTTGGAGTTGGCCCAAGAATTAATAAGGAAACCTATAATTCGTAGGCACCATAATGAAAAACATTTCCATTCCAATATAGAGCAATCCATGCTAACCATTTTGTCAGAATTAAATGTAAGTAATGAATAACCTGTTCCCGTTATTGGCAGACCGAAGCGATGTTTTTTATGAGACAGACGTAAAACAGGAAATCTAGAAAATTTGTTTTCGGTGCAATCAGTACGTATGTGCAGAACATTCAAAAAATGTTACAGTTTGTAACAAGTGTAATAATTAAATTATTATCTATTAATGTCACAGATTCTTATATATTATATTTTTCTTAATTATTTTTCTTCATATTATAATGATTTCATATTATTTGTTCCAAATGTGTTTATATCATACCTATGCAAAGATATATATATTTTTTAATCAGAATGTGTTTATTTTCAATTAGTCACAAATTAAAAAAGAAATAAGCCAAAAAATGTTGGGAAACATTTGTACCCCACTCGGTACTCAAGCCAAGGGAATTCGTCTTTGGTGATCAGAAGCCAGAAATTAAAATATTCTGTGTTTTTACTTTACTTAGTCATTCATTTTGGAATGTCATTTTTAAGACAATCTCTTAAGGTGAAAAATAATTACTGATTTTCTGTATTTTAATTGGTAATTTATTGTATAATTTGATGCAGTTATAGTAAGGTGATTTTTTGAGGTGTGTTGTGATACGTATATGGATGATCTTCAACATTACAAAGAAAGAATTTTTTTGTGGTATAAAACTTTATCTGCAGGAGTCAAGAGACTTCATTCCAAAAATTAATCTGACAATTCTGTTTGGGCAACGAATACTCTATCAATTAAGGAAGATTTTCTTCATGCCATGATGTTTTAAGACACATGGCTATAAGCCAGCGCATATTACACATTCATAAGAGCTTTTTCATTTGAGATATCTTGTTAACTGGCAAAGTATGTTTTACTTAAATGTTTTCATACGTACCAAATAAGCTCATGCATATTCAGGTCTAGGACATTTGTACGTGAGATACTAAAATTTACAACAGTTTTATTTCAATTTAAAATTAACCGATTTCTTTGACACCAGAAAGAGAATTCACCAAATACACTTTGAATTTTGGAATGTATTTTATTGACACTTGTTGCAGATATAGTTACAGTGGTATCATCTGCAAACATGGTTATGGGTTCTCCAGAGATATGACTGGCCATATCACTGACGTGTACATTGAACAGCAGTGTTCCGAGTACAGATCCTTGAGGTACACCGTGTTCAACAGGATATATATCAGATGTTGCACTTCCAAGTTTAACTTTTAGGTTTCTGTCCTCTATATAAGGGATCAGCCAATCAAAAAAGAAGCATTTAATACCCACAGTATGTAATTTTTGTTTAAGTATGTTACTATCTATAGTGTCGAACGCCAAATCAAAAAGTAAAGATACTACATATCCACCACGATCAAGTTTGCTATCAGCAAATTTAAGTAAGTGACAACGTACAGTTTTGATAAATTTCTCAGCCGTAAGTCGATGTTGGCATATATTCGACATATGAGATTTTTCAGCATAATGGGATAGTCTGTGATACATGGCCTTTTCTAGTTGCTTAGATATACTAAGTGACATATAAATCCGAACACCCAGTTTAAATGGTTTTATTTTAATAAAATTTTGTATAAGTACTTAATGAAGCATAATAAGTAAATGATAAAAATTTCAAAATGATTGCACTGCTTTAAAGCCACCTTTAATAATGTGTGGATACACCCTGATGTGCTA